TTTTTTTTTTTTTTTTTTTTCATTTTTAGGGCTTTTAGCCTATGTAGAATTACTGTGATCTCCTAATTGATCTCTCTGCCAGGCTTGCCCCCTCCAATCCCTCTTTGTTTTTCTTCTTAAGGGAACATTAATTGGGTGCTTGCTAGGCGCCAGTCCTTGTGCACCGCACTTTTTCATGGATTATATCATTTAATCCTCACAACAACCTATGAGGTAGGTACTTTTATTGTCCCCATATTACAAATGAGAAAATCAAGGTTTAGGGAAATTAACTAACTTGTTCAAGGTATCACAGCCAGTAGTAATGATTTAAAAGTTGGTGTTTTGACTCCAGACCAGAGCTGTGACCCACTGTACCGTGCTGTTTCCAAATTTATCTTCCTTAAGACAAAACACAAAGGAACACTATCCTCAAGTTCAAATGTTTAAAAATTCTACTGGCTTCCTATTTGTGTTAGAAGGAGCTCAGCATTGGAGTCAGACACATCAGTTCTGGCTCTGTCACTTACAGTCTCTGTGACTTGGGTCAAGTTACGTTGGGTCAATTTACTTTTTGAATTTCATTTTCTTCATTTATTTGCTAGAAATAATATATTGAATAGTATTATTTGAGTATTCAGTGACGTGGTTATGTACAAAGCTTCTAGGTCAAATGCTATGACTGGTAGTTTCCCTTAGAAAATAAGATGAATATTTCTTTCTTTTATTTGAGACAGAATCTCACTGTGTTGCCTTGGGTAGAGGGGTATGGCATCACAACTCACAGCAGCCTCAAACTCTTGGGTTTAAGCCAGTGGTTCTTAACCTTCCGAATGCTGTAACCCTTTAATACAGTTCCTCATGTTGTGGTGACCCCCAACCATAAAATAATTTTTGTTGCTACTTTATAACTGTAATTTTGCTAATGTTATGAATAGTAATGTAAATATCTGATGTGCAGGATGTATTTAGGTGACTCCTGTGAAAGGGTCATTCAACCTCCAAAGGGGTCGCAACCTACAGGTTGAGAACTGCTTGCTTAAGGCCCAGGTGTCCTCAAACTACGGCCTGCGGGCCACATGCAGCCTGCCTAGGACATTCATCTGGTCTACAGGGTGTTTTTGCCACCGCTGCCTGTCCTGCTTAGCAGCCGGCTCATCCCAGGGCCCACAGTCTGGCCCTCCAACGGTCTGAGGGACAGTGAACTGGCCCCTGTTTAAAAAGTTTGAGGACCCCTGGAACCGATTCTCTTGCCTCAGCCTCCCAAATAGCTGGGACTACAAGTACTTACCACAACGCCTAGCTATTTTTTTTTTTTCTGGCTGGGGCCGGGTTTGAACCCGCCACCTGTTATATGGGGCCAGTGCCCTACTCCTTTGAGCCACAGGCACCACCCAGCCTACCTGTTTTTTGGTTGCAGTTGTCATTGTTTAGTAGGCCCGGGCCTGTCTCAAACCCACCACCTTTGGTGTCTGTGGCCGGTGCCTACTCACTGAGCTATGGGTGCCAAGCTGAGATGACTATTTCTTAGCGTGAAGTAGCGGCCCCTCCTAGTTTTGCCCAGTCTTCCTCTCTAGGTTGCTGTCCTTCTCTTCCCTACACAGGTACAGCTACATGCCCACGCTCTACCTAGCTTAACACCTGAACAAACTTTGCATTTTCAAGTCCTAGTTTATCTTTTATCTTCTTGTGTCTTGCAAATTCCATTTTTCTTCTTCTTTGTTTTTTTTCTGGAGACAGAATCTCACTCTGTTGCCCAAGCTACAGTGCTGTGGTTTCACAGCTCACAGTAACTTCAAAGTCCTGGGTTCAGGCGATCCTACTGCCTCAGCCTCCCAAGTAGTTGGGACTACGTGACAGGCATCCATCACAATGCTGGGCTACTTTTTCTCCTTTTAGTAGACATAGGGTTTCGCTCTTGTTCAGGCTGGTCTTGAACTCCTGAGCTCAAGGGATCCTCCTGCCTTGGCTTCCCAGAGTTCTGGGAGTATAGGCGTCAACCACCAGGCCTGGCTGTAAATGATTTTTTATTCTTCAAGTCCAGTTCGTTTATCACCTTATGCAAAATCTTTCCTTATTCTCCTATTTATTTCTATAGCATTTGTACATTATCAGAAGTGAACATTATTTAATGTATAATGTAATTGTCTTTGAATATAATTTTTGTCTCTATTACACTGCAAAATCCTGTGAGTAAAGATTGTCTTATCTTTTTATAAAGTATTTCTGATATACAGAACATGCCTGTAAGTATTTCTTGTGTTAAATAGAGTTCTCATAGCCTGGATAATACGAATAAATTTGATTTCTAAGAGAATACATAAAATATAAAAGTACATTCAGTAGGTAAGTATTTGTTGAATAAATCAACTGACTTGGGTTCTTTTATAAATAACCCTAATACATACTCTCACAGATATTTATACATTTACTCAATAAATTCAGCAAAAGGTATTTACTTGATGATGGTTTACTACTGTTTATCTGAATGGAAAACAGCGTGTTTCTCTCATTCAAATTTTTCACTAATACAGACGTTGGTATATTAGTAATATATTAATTTTGTGAAAAATAATTTGAATATTATACCCTTCTCTATATCCTATTCAGTGTAAAATTCTAGTATAATTTTAGTTGAGTTTTAATACAGTTGTGTCTTTTCTCTCTGTATATTTGTGGTGTCGTCATTGTTCTTGTTGTTGTACAGTTGAAAATGCTATGGATTGTCTGTTAGAATTATCTACCACTGAGGCCAAGACAGAAGAATCATCTCCACAAAGTTTCATTGCTTCTGAGAACCCAGTAAGTGCAGCAAAAAGTGAAATAATGGAGAAGTGTCCTCCCGAAGACGAGAGTGAAGATTCGAAAATGGATTCATTTCTGGACATGCAGCTAACTGAAGACTTGGATTCCTTAATACAGAATGCTTTTGAGAAACTGAACTCTTCTCCTGATGACCAAGTATACTCATTTTTGCCTTTGCAAGATGTTAACAGTTTTAATGACCGAAGTGAGTTTATAAATTTTGATTCAAGTACTATGACTCCCATTCTTTCTCCACAAAGTATGAATTTGAATAGTGAAGATTTAGAGAGTTCTGCCTCCACAGTAAGTTCAAATCCATCACCTTCACATTCAGTTTTAAATGAGTCCAAACATTGTACAAAGGATAACACAGTGGCACTGGATGGTAGCTACCCAGAAGATTCTCTTCTCAGTAGTTCTTTAAATCTTGCAAATGATTCTAACGTGGGTAGTAGAAATCTTGATCAAAAGCAGAAAGAAGTTTTAGAATCTGAGTGCATTGCAGTCCAGCTCCCTCAAGCTTCTGTGAATCTGGACGCCAGAGAACCTCAGCCTCCTTCCAGCTTTCCAGGGCTTGATTTACCCAGTACAGGTGGCGATCAGAAATCTTCTGTCTCTGATGTGTTTGTACCTTCCGAAGGGTTCAGTTTTAAGCCCCACAAGCATCCTGAACTGCCACCAAAAGGGAAGGATGTTAGTTACTGCCCAGTACTAACCCCCCTCCCTTTGCTGCTGCCCCCTCCCCCTCCGCCATTGTGGAACCCCATGATTCCTGCTTTGGACCTCTTTCAAGGAAACCACGGCTTTGTGGCTCCTGTCGTAACCACAGCTGCGCACTGGAGACCCGTCAGCTATACCTTTCCACCTGCAGTTATTTCTCACACTTCCCCAACAAAGGTGTGGAGGAGTAATGAGGGAACAAGTGCTTACCAAGTGCAGGAAACCCCAGTCTCTCAGACTGTAAGAAAGAAGACGACATCTTACGTTGGGCTGGTTCTTGTTCTTCTCAGAGGGCTTCCAGGATCGGGAAAATCTTTTTTGGCAAGGTATGGGTTTAATTTGAGTTAAAAAAAAGTGTATAATGCCTGAATCTGAACCGATAGTGTGAATTTGCACAAAGGTTGCTTAGTAGAGTTCTTCAGAAACCCCTAAAATGTTTCCTTTTACTAAATGTTTATGACTTTGTTTTCTCTTAAAGGTTTTTTTTTGTTACTGTTGTTTGTTTGTTTCTCAGAGACAAAGTGCCTCACACTGTCACCCAGGCTACAGTAAAGCGACACCATTATGGTCCTCCTGCTCCTGGGCTCAAAC